CATGAAAACACTCTGAGACTCTTAATTCATTCAAGGCCTCGTTATCACCTGATGTCCTTGCTCAGTGCCAGCTGTGGTACCACTTGTGTGCCCCTTTTGTCTGCAATCTTAGCACATCCCACACCAAACTTTCCTGTGGCATTTGATACATCTCAAGGGGATCTTTGCCACTGGTGGGTTGCCCAGACATCTCTGTTAAACGCTGCTTATCTCTCATGTGTCTCAGATGAATACCAGACACAGTAAGTGTCTGAATACATTTATCTCTTGGATTGTTTGAGAAAGCACCACACATCCCGAATATCACAGGTGGAAACGAGTTGAAGTCTAATTCTGAGGTGCTCCAGTTGAAAGGGCTGTAGCTGTGTCATGTGTTTTACAATGGTTTTACAGCAAGAAGAATACTGCCAGAGCATCAAGGAGGAAGTAGGACTAGTTTGGACTAGATGATCTTTCGAGGTCCCTTCCAGCCCTTAAGATTCTAAGTATAAATGCATGGCTGAAAATTGAAACACAAGATCCAGGACAAGAAAGACTCTGATCCTCTGCTTCTGCTGTACCTCAGCAGCTTTACCTACTTTGGGAAGTCACTTGACCTCTGTGCTTTCCTTGTCTCTCTGCCTTTTTTCTGCCCTGTTTTAATGGTGCACTTGGGGACTTCACTTTTTTCTGCCTGGATGTTCATACAGAGGCTTTTGGGGGTGCATAGTTTGGTAGGTGCTCCTGGGTATTACAGTAATACAGACTATAGTAATATAATGAAGGGAAAAAAAGGAGCAATCAGCTGAAAGGTTGCTTTGGACTAAAGGACTATGAACGGAACAGAAAGGAAATGGAGGAAGACACCTAGAGACAGAAGGCATATCCAGCTGTGCTTAAGTGAAGGAAAATAAGTTCTAAAATAAAAAAAAAAAATATTCTTAAAAAGAGAGACAGAAGCAAGATGGGCCTAAAAAGAAACAAGGAATCAGAAGAAATGTGTGCATATGAATGAGAGATACCTCAAAGGCAGTAAATCCTGTTTTCTAGGACAGAACAGAAAGAAAAGACATTGTTTCTGACCTGTGGAGGGGAAGTTTGCACTGTGAGCTCATTAGATACCAACAGCTCTCCATAGGCAAGGAGCACCTGAGACACAGAACTTTCAGAAATCTGGTTTATTAGCTCTGCTGTTTCAAGAACGATTTCGTTTTTTCGGTCCTTATTCCTCCAGAACCAACATGAAATGACCTGCCATTGCTATTGTTTATGCTGCATCGTCTTCAGCGGCTGTTTAACATGGATGGCAGACGAACCAGGTCGTGCAATAGGAGCCTATTTCCTGAGCGTGGCATAGCGGTACAAGGAATGACCGTGAGCTTCTCTGACGCCAGCCACAGGATGGAGCTGGTCCAAGGAAGAGTGTCTTGCTGATAGCGCTGGGAGGACGGCAGGCAGGATAGCTATCCAGTGCCCTCAGGAATAGTTCTGCGTTTTCTGTCTCAGCCTGTGGGTTGCGGGAGTGTATGGACTGCTTCTGAGGGCTTAAGGGATGCTAAGTGGGAAAAGCAAGCCTGTTGCAGGAGGCTGTTACAAGCCAAGTTGTGTGCTCATGAGAGCAACTTAGGATCTACTGACTGAGGAAGCTTAAAAGCTGTAACAGAGTTTTAAAGCTATGGACCAGACCAAAGCCCTGTGGAATCACAGCAAATCCCTCTAAAAACTGTATAAGGCTTCTGATCATCTCCAACCACTCAGTTTAACCTACCAAACTACACACTCTTCGTGCTGTGCTGACTTCAGTGCTTTCAGCCTCAGGGCACTCCGGAAGCCTTAATCAGGCCTGCAAAAGCCAGAGTTTGCCTTAGCATGGATCTGCTTTACAAAGTAATACTCAGTGGTTCTTGCTGTGTGGCTTCTGGCTCAGTGTACATCGTTGCAGTACCTATAGACACACATCACAGAGAATATTAACACACACCACCTGAAGCTTTGACTTAAAAATACAACCCCCTCAGCTAGGCAGGCCCTTTGGGAAGAAGCAACAAATAGGAGAGCTGTGATGGAGCTCTAAACAGAGTGGACATAAATGTCATGTCACAGAGGGCTGGACTCAGGCTGGCTGATGGGTACCCTGTCAGCTTCTTGGGAAGGCTGCAGGCTCAGCCCACCACAGAGCTAGGAGAGGAGGGGTGTTCATAGCATTTGCGTGATTTATTTTATTCATGCATTTCAATTAAAGCACATCAGGTGTTCCCTCTGCTGCCTTTGGGATTCTTTCCCCTGCTCTCCCCTCTAGCACCTCCCTTGCCTGCCGTGTCTGGGTTAGATGCAGGAGACATGGTGCTTTCCACTGTTTGTGCACAAATACAAGTACATGTGAAGAGATGTGGAGGTATTAGGTGTCTCTATGTTAATACAGATCTGTATGTATGACATAGACATGTCAGAAACACAAACATGCAAGGTTCATGTGTCTGGATTGGTTGGACACATACCGGCTCTGCCCTGAGCCAGCAGAACCAGCTTTTCCTAGCAAGTACCTTTGGATGCAAACTGGAGCATAGGAGGTTCCATGTGAATACCAGGAAGAACTTTCCTGTGAAGGTCACAGAGCCCTGAACAGGCTACCCAGAAAGGCTGTGGAGTCTCCTTCACTGGAGACATTCAAACCCGCCTGGACACGTTCCTGTGTGATGTGCTCTGGGTGACCCTGCTCTGGCAGGGGGGTTGGACTGGATGATCTTTCGAGGTCCCTTCTCCTCCTGGCAGCCCCCCGGCTGGGTGCGGGCGGTGCGAAGTCCTGCCAGCGGCTAAAACATCCGCGCTGTTGTAAAAAAAAAAAACCCAAAACAAACATCAAACCAAACAACCCTAAAAAGCGCGATTCTCCTGACGGCTGCAGAAAGCGGTGCCGGGGACAGGCTGATCCCGGGGGTGTGCGGGGCTGGCATTCCAAGGCAGGAGCCCCCGGGCGGGAGGGCAGCGGGATGAGCCCCCTCCTCGGCTCCTCAGCGCCCT